TTACGGGAGTACTGTATACCCTGTTCTCCTGGACTTATAAACTTACCAGTCGGCTCGCCGGCTAACGCCGGCGCGCCTCCTTCTGATACGGCCCGGCTGCGCTGGGCGAGCGCGGCTTCGCCGCGCGTATTTTCTTTCACATATTTCTAGACTCAACTGATATCCGCCTTTTGTTCTGTACTCCACTTTTTTTCCGGTGTCTGAAGTACTCTTGAGCTATTTTACAGATTCTTCGTCTGACTCCGCCCACCTCGGAGCAGGCCCCGCCCACAATGTTTGTGCCCCACAATCCTCACCGGCGACCCTCTGCTGACCTTGATCCACTTTTTTTTCCGGCTCTCGGAGTTGCTCTGGAACCGTTTTACAGACCTTTTTGTCTGGCTCCGCCCACCTCGGAGCAGGCTCCGCCCACAATGTTTTGTGCCCCACAATCCTCACCGGCGACCCTCTGCTGACCTTTAGTCCATTTTTTTTTCCGGTGTCCGGAGTGTTCTGGGACCGTTTTGCAGATCGTTTGTCTAACTCCGCCCACTTCGGAGCAGGCCCGCCCCCAAAATTTTGCGTGCCCCATAATCCTCACCGGCGACAGCTATCCTGTGCTGCGCCGTTAATCCACTGCTTTTTTTTCTGGTCGGCGTCTTTGAAGTGCTCTGGGACAGTTTTAGAGAATTTTCGTCTGGCTCCGCCCACAATATGTCTACCCCACATTTCTCAATCGGCGACCCCTTGCTGACCTGAATTCACTTTATTCCGATCTTCGGAGTGCTCTGGAGCCGTTTTTTTACAGACTTTTTTTTTGTCTGGCCTCCGCCCACCTCGGAGCAGGCTCCGCCCACAATGTTTTTGCCCCACAACCCTCACCGGCGACCTCTGCTGACCTTTGTTCACTTTTTTCCGGTGTCTGGAGTGTTCTGGAACCGAGCTACAAACTTTTAAAATGAATACCCTGCAATTTAGGGCAAGCGCTCCGCCCACTGCGGCGGCGGTATCCTGCAACACGCCTTTGAGCGCTGCTCGTGAAATAAAAGTGTCACTTCTGTGAATGCACACATATGTTCACACCGTGATTTGCTTTAGTTACCCAAGTCCACTGGCCTGTGTCACACGCCTTTTTCTTCTTATGCATTTAGTTTTACGCGCAGTTTGGGGTACTGTATCAGCTGTTATATAAGGCAGCGTTCAGAATTCGCGACGGCAGCGCTTTAGTGGCGCCTTTGACGCGATCGATGCAGTGAAAAGCATGCTCAAAGCATGTTCTGTTGAAACCGGAAACTAACCTGAATAATCTGTCCAATTTGCATGAGATTAAAACGAGCAATATGACTGATGGGGGTATCACTGATAATGCCCACATTTTCCGGGTTTATAATTGCAGGACATAATAAGTTGGTTACGATAAGGTCAGTACAGATGAGTGTTGCCTGAAAATTACTGAAAAGTAAGCCAAGGAGAGAATGGGGAAAGGACAAAAAAATAGGTTTGAGAAAGCGAGAGAAAAATTGAGGTATAGGTTATTTCGAAGTGAAGTAGAGCTCAAAACCCGCTTACGAGACGGTTGAATTAATTTCATTCCTGCTTGACTGCGACATCAATGAGGTATACAAAATAGAGCTGTGAAATAATGAGGTATACAAAATAGAGCTACAATGGAACAGTAAGAGCGCGTCCATTCTTTGCTGCAGCGTTTTGAGCGACGGAAAGTAGAGGTATCGGTCCAGCGTTATGAGCGTCCACCAGCGTTATGATCATTCGCCACGGTTTCTAGCGATAATCGATGCCTATTCATATGCTGTCTTAGTCGTTCAAAACGTTTAAAACGCTGGCGGATGCTAAACGCAGGTGAACGCTAATACGCCCGGAAAGCTAGCGAACGTTCAGAACGCTGAATCTATACCAATACTCCCCTAGCCGCTCAAAACGCTCAAAACGCCGGCGCCAATTATGGACGCTACCTGACTCCTTAATGATGATTCGCAGGACAAAGTCTAAAGGAGAATACTAGAAAGTACTACATTATGTTATACTATTACATATTATAATGTTTCTTACTTCAGACATAGGAAGTCGTTTAATTTCGGTTAGCGATGAATTCAGCTGCTGCACTAGCCATATTAAGCCGGACGGGAAACACGAAATAGCATCGCAAATCCCTGAAAGCGTTAATATCTATGAGAATCAGTCGTAATAAGCATTCCTGACAAAGAATAAGTAGCAGGAGTAACAGCAGCACTAATAAGCAGTACCAAGTACCTTTGATGAAACTGTGAGCAAGCAGGACAAGCTTTTCAACAATTAACTTCCGATGCGCGGCCACTCTTTTATGATACTGAGCACTGGTAGGGTCATCACCGAAACGCCGCACACGATCCGCGCTGGGGAATCGTAGAGGAGACTGAAACGGTAATTCACCTGTTACTCATCAACCTTGACCGAAAAAAAACGTGAGAAACTTGGGCAGATAAGAACGGACCTTAGCAGGGTCAATGTCAAGGAAAACCTCATCTTGACATAGGACCAGCATGACGGAATCATGAAGTGCAGCGGTAAGGAAAATCTGAAATAATCACAATATGATTGACTGAAGGCAGGGGGCACGATTGTTGGAGGCGGGCAGCTGTAACCAGTGTCACTGGTGGAAAGGGTGGGAGGAGCGTGGCCAGGCACCCTTTCGCAGCCCTTCCACCAATGACACTGACAACAACCGCTCACCTCACTCAATCGCGCCGCTCACTATCTTCGACAAAGTAGCCTTTCGATACAGTAAAATGCTAACAGTCCAACCTTTGCGGCATATAGTGAATCACTGTAGAGTTTGTACAGACGCGGGAAGGCTGCTGCGCCTTTACGGATGATAAGGCGAGGATTATTATGAGTGAGGAGTTGAACACGTATCAAGCAATTAAGTGTCTGTAAAACAAATAAGAGGTCAGCAGTAAGCACTTTGAAAGTCGAAGACGCGAGCAAGCCAGCCAACCTCGAGAACTGCTTTCTCATCACTAGGGAAGACACAATTACCGTAAACAAGGCTGAACATGGCGTGAATACTGTCGTCGGAGGAAAGCTCCTGGAACGAGAGGATAAAAATTAATTGCAAAATCAAGAAAAAAAAAACAAAAACACGTGAGTTTAGGAAACGAACCTGACTTTGTCCAATGGCATGTAAAAGCTCAGCGGTTCCTAAAGGCGAAGTGTAGAGAAGGGACAGACATCTCCCTACTGGAGAATGATGATGACCCAATTTCCTGAACATATATAATATCAAGCTCGCAAACTTGAAGAATGACTGGTGTGTACCTCTGAATCTCGAAGTATTTCTTGGTTAGAAATATTTGCCACAGTTCGGCTTGGTTGCGGGCATTTTACTGATTCCCCTCGATCACTGCCGAACCCTGGGGCCAGTAAAGTTATGCAATAGCATGAGCTTCGTTCAGGCCTGACATGAGCGTACCCCAAAATGAGACGTACAAGTTAACCGGAACTAGCGAAAGAAAGCATCGAAGGTGCAAAGTACCTCCCCTCCCCCTCTCTCCTCCCCTTCCAAACAAAACAGCATCAAACTTTATTTAGGAAAATAGAAATAATGCTAACCGATAGGCTTCTTCGTATTCCACAGCATTAAGTTGTGACGATATAGCACATGAATTGTCTTGAGAGACACAGCTATGCGAACTTACTAGACGATGAAGTAGAAGCTGAAACGGTAGGATCAGGCAAGAAATGTGGGATAGATGCTTTGACAATGTTGTACTGAATCATGTAATGGCGAGCTTTCCGCAATGGTTTCTTCATCAGACCGCTTTCCTCAATAATGTCCTGAAGGCAGTAGGCTCGTTTACGCGGGGCGGGCGGTTGTTGCCAGCATTGGTGGAAGGGCTGCGGGAAGGCGTTTGGGCTCAGCCTTCTCAGCACTTCTACCAGTTACGTTGACGACAACCGCCCGCCCAGCGATCGTGCCCACTGCCTTCAATCAGACCACATTTGATGCCCTTTCAGTTCTTGGTCATACCATTAACGGGGTTTCTATTAAGCTGGTCATTGAGCAACAAATAAGAAGCGCTTTTGTCCTCAAGAGAGACCAATAAACTGGGGTTCCCCTCAGTTGGCGCAGACCTTCAAATATATGTTGCACTCTCGGCCCAGGGTTACGTGACATCTTGAACTTTTGTGCATGGTCCTGTTACGAAACCCTGTGACGCAGACGGATAGAGGGCAGCGGCTGCCAAAGCATCGAAACGTGCAAAAACGTATGGCGAGCCAGGAAACGGGATTTTTCAAGGGGAGGGGACTCCGGGGTGGGTGAGCTACTTATAGTCGGTGAAAAGCTGGAGTGAGCGAAGTCACAACGGCCATAGAGTGCCATGCGGACGAGAGAGTGCAGAGAAAAAGAGAAGATCGACGCGTTCAAAGGGATTGAGTTCAAGTTGTCCGTAGACCCTAGGCCCAGTAATAAATACTGAGAAAAGGAAGTATAATAATCCGTCGAATAATTCTTAGCTAACGCGAGCTGCATCATGTGTAGCACAGAAGGAAAAGAGCGAGGTACATGTAGTGCAGGACAGGGTAGTCTTGCTCGCTGCAGGTGATAGGGCGTGTCCGTAGAATAGGGCTTGGTGCGCACTCCCCGTCAGTTGCTGGAGCGGGTATGCGGCAAAAATTGGTAACCAATGACTGATGCGAAGACTATGATACAGCCTCGCCGCTACCTCTTTTCAACAAGTGGCGTAAAACTTGTTTGGCACCGCGCAAACCCATCCTTCTGACACGCTCCATCATCCACAGCTAACAAGGCTGTGATGGCCTAAACCCTTTACCCTTTGAAATATAATCTTGTTCATGACACTCCTGGCCCGACGTTCCTTCGAACGAATTATAAAGATCAGCGAAGTGTTACCTGATGCTGTTTGTTATTCCATGAAAGCAAACCCAACTGAAGAAGCTTCTCAGATATTTCGTTGTTCAGCTCTCGCAGGGAGGCTACCTGTAACAGTCAATCCCTTCAAACTGGTATGGAATGAATTGTTAAACACTGACTCCAGAAATTTTCTATAAATCATTCTTTTCATTTGTTGCGTAACAGTACACTACAGCCATTACTCATCAAACAAGACCACAAAAACCTGCCCACAAGACTTACTTCGCTATTGATCAACAGGCGTTCGACTCTCAACCGCTCACAAAGAGATCTTATGCCATCAGCGGACGAAAGTACATCCATTCCACACTGCCACTACAGAACGGCGCTATACATGCCCTAAAGAATGTTACAGCAACGGCACTTTTGTTTTCCGCAACTACGTACATGACAGTAGGGTCCAAGTATATGCAGCGAACAGTCGCGTTTCTCTTCAAACAAAACACAGTGATAGATAAACCCGAATTGTCGTTCACCAGGTTGCAAAATCCATAAATACATTACTCTTCTAGATTAACAAGCAGATTTAACAGATTTACATATATAACACTGACAATCAACATGTACTTAGCAAACAAATGAATACTTCTGGAAACCCGGAAAGATTACGCCGTCGAAGTGAACGGGACCCGCAGACAGGCATGGAAGAAGGAATGGGTGAACTAGCGGATACGATAAAAGTTGACACAATTCATGCAAAAAATACAGTCTTGTTATCTGCGTGTGAAGGGGCGTGTCAGGCGAATCGGGCGTGACGCGGCACCAAACCCGTTTTTCACCAGTTGTTGGAGACAGCAAGTGACAAGACTGCATCGTGTCGTCCGCATCAGTCTTTCTACCAATTGCTGTCGCTTATCTGCTTCAACAGCAGATGAAGAACGGGTCTGGCACCGCGTCAGACTCAGCCCGCCTGATGCGCCCCTTCATCCGTAGCGAACAAGACTGCAGTAAGTGCGATTCAATTTCAAAGCTCAGGTTTCGGGAAAGACGGACATGATGAATTCTTTAGAACATAATCACCAAGTTTTGGGCAGAATCTGCTCATACATCACCTGATAATCTCCCCGTATGGAAAACTTAGGCGTTGCGCACAAATACGGGTAGCTTCCACTTCCAAAGTCTAGTGAGTGAGGCGCTTTATGTCGGAAAACGGGATTAAAAGAACATAGGTGGACCCCGTGAAAACTCAGTTCGCTGCTCGAGAAGCATGGAAGGGAAGGACAATCATGGCTGTGGTCATGATGTTAAATTAACAATTCTCGCCGACGAGAAGGGCAGTGGTGCCAGAAGAACGCCTCTAAGCCAAATAAGCTATGAGAATGTAAAAACTGCGTGGAAGAGGTGGGGTGGTCTGCAATGGTCAGCTTTGCGCCAGTTTGGCGACGGAAAGTAATGGTGAAGACGATGAAGCGCAATATCGCTCCAGTGACACCTCCTTTTCCCAGCGACCACGCCTCCGATTTCCGCGTTCCAGCAGGAAAGATGGCACCGGACGAGTGGATAATATGGGAGTCCTAATGGCTCAAACGGATTCGTCCGTGGGTTGTACATCTTCAAGGCCAGAAGAGTTCTATTATGGGCATTTCCGGTGTTCCTTTTTGCATTTTCTCTTTCCTTACAAGTCCCCAGTCAACTTCTTTTCCGTTTTCGCACCACTATTTACGCTGACCATTCCTTCGAAACCAAAACACAGGTATGAATAACAGGACTGAACTCATGTCAAAAAACGTCTGAATCCCTGCCCCACATGTCACTATGTGAGCGCAACATCATGAAGCAGTGCACCTAGGCCCACTATTGCCACAACAGCAATGCAAAAAGGAAACAGGGAAGTCTCATTCACTTTTGCATCATACTATTTAGTAACACTGCACTGTTAATCTGCGTCAGCGTTCTGAGCATACGGGAGCGTTCTGAGCAATTGAAAAGTACGGATATCGATCTAGCTTTTTGAACGTATGCGAGTGTATTGGGCGCTTCCCGCGTAATTTTGAACTTTTCGCGGGCAGTCGCTGAAAGCGCTGGCGTACGCTCAAAACGGTCGATCAATAGCTATATTTTCCTAGTCGCTCGCAACGCTGTCGGACACAGGCATTCTGGAAATGTTGTTCTGCTCGGCGTACACCAGTAAAGCTGCAGCTTGTCAGAACAAGACATTGCGTTGAGCGAGACAGGATAGCTAGCTCAAATGTAGAAATGTCTCAAGGCCCCGCGGAACATGATCTTACCGAAATGTAAGGTAAAAACGCTCGGGTTTAGAACAGATTACCCAACTCGGTGATTATTTCTTGGTCATCCTAGAAAAATTGGAGTCATCGCCCGTCAAGGCATTGAGATGTCAGCAGATCCGATCCACATGGACAACTTCCGACTTCGTGAAACCAAGCTCTTCCAGTGTCTTCTCCTCATCCTCGATCGAGTAAACACGGCGTGGATACGAAAGAATGAATAAGTGAACAACAGGGTCGAAACCGTCCGCACTGATGTACGAGAAAAGCTCCTAAATAAAACATTTCTCTACATATTGCACTAGATGCTGACATCATGCACGTACAGAGAGTTTAGTTGTCAGTGTGAATTCAGCAGTTTGGGTTCGGCTACCATTTTCACATGGTAAGTGGAAACGCACAACACAAGGGCGATCTCCAGCTGCCACCTAAAAAGATATTTTCTACGAAAACAAAATCCACATGGGAACTCTTCTTTTCAATACACGCTGAACGCTACCATGTGAAGTGGCTCCTACCAATAGGCGAGGGCCCGCGACTGTAGAACAAATCTACTATAAGGCCGCGTTCATACTTCGCGACTGAGGAAATTCGGCGATTCGGGCGATTTTGAGGTAAAAAAGTGGGTGGGTACCGATTGCCGCGGTCGCTAACAATTGCGGAGGTTCGATAATTCGGCGCTCTTCGATAGCGACATGGAAGATTTGGACATCTGGCGCCTCATCGCCGAATCCCTGCGCCGATCGATATCCATCCACTCCATTGGAGTGCAATCGCATAAGACGCCGGAACGCTCGCTCTATCGCAAATACTTTACACCTAAAATCAGCGGCAAACAATGCCGTTATACCTTTAGCTGAATGTACAGTCAAATATTTCGGATGTTGTGGTGTGTGTGGGGGAGATGGGAGGGGGGGAGGGGGCAGGGTTCGACGCGGCGCCAACCCGTTCTCGACAAAGTGTTGTCGCTTGCCAGCTCCCACAATTCGTGGAGAACTTGTTGGCGCCGCGCCAAAACCAGCCCCTCGAAAAGCTCGGGATCCGCAGCGAACAAAAATGTAAACAAATATTTCTTCCACTACCGTCACAATGGACATCTAATTTCTATACATCGAATCTTACATTGTCCTTCTTCTCAATTTTGTCGTTTACACTCAGAGCTCTCGTATCATTCGAAAGACGCGTTTCTTCTGCATCTAAAAATAATGACAGGTATACAGCTGTGTAATTCCTGTAAATAGTAAGATTCCTCCAATACCATTCAACTTTCCCCTTTTCGGTAAGGGGCTCACAGGAGCCGCATTCTGGCGTTTGCGCGAGGCGCCTGATCCTTTCAATACATCCTATAAAAAACCAAAAGGATTAGCGGAAAGAGTTACATTAATTACATTTCTTGGTTATCAGTCGAACTTACATTTTTTTCGTGTCCAGGATTGGCATTCAATGGCCCTGGTATATCTTCATCCCCATTTTCACAAATCGGATGAGCGCTGTTGGTGCTAATAAATCCATTAACTAAAAGTAATTCGATAGTAATGTAAAAAAGGAGAATGCACAGTACTTAGAAAAACTTTTAATTCAATTTAATTTAGAAAAGCTTCAATTACTAAAACATGTCACCATATAAGCAAAAACAAGAAACCCTGACCAGAATCTTACCTGGAGATCTGCAGCGTTGAGCTCCTAGATTCGGGTATGTGACAAGACAATCGTGATGTGCCGCGCTGGTGGGCGTGGCGAGCGACGCCTCTCGAGTGTTATACCTTCGTCCGAATGTTAAATGGATGGGATAAGTCCAGATATCCCTAAGCATGGGCTCTTGTCTACGCTTGAGTTCACATGGGTTCTGATGCTTGAACCCACAGACTAATACACAACGAGGATTTGCTGACATCGCCGCACGCGGCAAATTACGATTGTCTTGTCCGTCTCCTCCCTCATCTAGCGCTTGCGAATGAACCGGAGGGCCCTTCGACTTAAGCCCCTGAATCATCAGAAAGTAGTAACTGTACGAAAAGTAACATCTAAGTTGAAGAGGCCGTCGGCACCACTCAGCTATTCGTATCCCAAATTCTCAAAAACATTCCGCTGAAACAGACTTTAGCGACTCTCCAATGCCCTGACACATACGTTTTGAACGTCGCGCCAACTTGACGCCACCACAATTTTTTTCACCAAAAATCGATGTTTGCATATTAGGCTTAGTTGATGACTTGATTACGAATACGACATCCATTTGTGGGGCCGGCTTGGCACGGCTACTTTTACAATCAAAGTTTACTATAGAGGTCAAGTGGTGGACCGGTCACTAATATAACATTCACGTTTTCGGCGCCAGCTGGCGCTCTACAAAGGGTAAGCATGCCAGGAGCGATTCCTTCTTCTTCCGAGCTCAGCTTCAGCAAATTGCAAACGACCAGAGTGCCCTACACCTGCTCTACAATTGATTGTCATGTCCATGATCAGAAAGCCAAATAAACCTAGTGTGCCAACTTACTTGAATTTCGGTGAAGAAGGTTGTGGCATAGGTTAGCGCTGGTCTTATTCTGGGGCCGAATGGCGTTTTCGCCAAGGAATGTCATATTCTTAATGAGGACATCAAATGACCTTAGTAGGGAGCTTACAATTTTGGTGAAAAAAAAATTAAGAGGCAATAATGACGTCGGCAAAAAACGGATGTCACATTCACGATCAGGACATCGAGTACCCAAACAGGACAAATTTTAGCAAAAAAAAAATGGGGTTTTTGGAGTAGAAATAGTTGAAGGAAGACTTGCAAAAAA